CGACGGAAGACCTGCCTCCGTTGCGGCCGGAACCACATACTTTGGCAAGTTCTTATTCAGCTCATTTGTCAGGACAGACGTATATAACGCCTGCGCGACTGCACCGCCAAGACCACGGATGGATCCCATAACGCCTGTTGCGAGCCCGATATCTTGAGCTTGCCAGACCAGCGTGATTCCAGGAAACGAAATGTTGTCGACGAAGCCGATCCAGGTACACACCAGGGTCCCCAGAGCGATCGTCGCAGCCCATCGATCGGGCGAGATCGTGGTTAATGCAGTCATGAAAGCAAATGATAAGGCCGACGCAACGACGCACTGCCACTTCACCTTGGGCACGTAAGAGATGGTAAATCCTGCGATAGTCTGGCCGAGAAGAATTCCGCCGCCGACCACCGAGCTCTGCCACCCAATTTTCATCGAGTCTGTGGTGTAAATGCTGCCGATGATGGTAGGCCAAAGAACGGTGAGGGAGTAGTAGACCATCGCCCCGACCGTCGCGATGGCAATGATAGCGACGAAGCCGATGTTCTTGAACATCCTTGGGGGCATCAATGGCTGAACCTTGCAGAAGAAACCCTCTGCTGCAAGTCAGTTGAAGCACCACGTTGAGAACAATTTTGAGACTTACCATAGATGGCAAAGGCAGCCAGAGTGGCGATGCCAATAAGAAGAGTGCAGAGTACTTCCGCGCTCGCCCATGGATACGCAGATCCTCCCCATGAGAGACCTATGAGGAACAACACGCACCCGGAAACATAAAGAAAGATGCCAACGAAGTCCAAATCCTTGGTCATCTGGAGTCTGGTCTTCCCGTGAACGTGGAGCTGGTCGTATGATGGCGGGTGGTAAAAGAACCAGTAAAGAACCAAAGAGAGTACGCCAAGGATGTCTCCCATGTAGTAGCTCCATCGCCACTTTGAGACAGTGTTGTCGAAGAGGGATCGAGCAATGACAGGGCCAAAGACAGCGAAGGGTAGCGAGGAGAGGAAGACGATAGTGACGATAGGTCCTCTCCACTTATTCGGCACAAGCTCTCCCATAACGATGCCAAACGACAACTGCCCGGCCGCCGCGATGCCGTTGCAAACATTGGCGGCAATAAGGGTCTCAACCGTCTGAGCACATGAGCCGATAACGCAGCCGACGAGCCCGAGGATCGAAGTCCCCAGTACCATCCACTTGCGTCCGTACAGATCAGAGAGTCGACCGACGAGAAGGAAACCAATCGAACTGCCCATGGTCCACATGGTGGCAACCCAGTTGATGTTCTTGGAGGGACCGAGGTCTGCGTTGATGAGTGTGCTCCAATCAGGTCAGTATCTCTTCAAGTGAACCTTGTTGATGAATAGACTTACAGTGTGTTCGCAGGTAGTACCCATCCCAAGTATGCGCAGATACTTGCGAGGCATTGAGCCTAGGACCCTATCAGTTTCAATCCAAAGACATCGATCCCGTCAATCTAGCATACGGTCAACGTTCCAAGGAACTGTGGGCTGCGAAAGTAACCGGCAGGCATGGCATCGTAGTTGCCACCGACGGCCTTCGTATCAATGTAGTCGACGGTTCCATCGGCATGAACCACTTTGGTGACGTTGCCATCGTGGGTCTGTACTTTGCTGATATCATTCTCGGTCTCGAGATGGCGCGTAGTAGGCTCCTTGGCCTGTGTGCCGGATTGCCCGTCAGAGGAAGACATGGCTGTTGGAACTGGACACCGAATATCGGCGGAGATCTTTGGACGTGTAGAGTCTTCAGATCCAGCGAAGAAAAGATCCAGGCTGCTGGCTGCGGGTCTCGCTACCATGGAGTTGGGACGTTGACCAATATTAAATAGCACGGCTACCCTCCCCTCAGCAGACGGACGCCTTCATCCAAACGTATGGATCGCCGGAATGTGCTACCCCAGTTCAAGGGAAAGGATGGTTATTCTTTCCCCACGCAACCCCGGAATCCAGGGATCTGGGGAAGTCGTGGCCGGCAGAAAGGGTGATTCAGGGGGGGGTTTCTCCCCAACGCAGGTGAGAGGCTGGAGACATGGATAATGAAGAGTCCAGGGCGATTGGGCTCTTGTGCATCCACGAGTGAAACTAGCAGCATTGAGGTGGTACAGAAGATAGATAGGCTTGGGACGTCGCATTCCTCGGGCGCTCTAGGGCGAGACATCGGCTAGACCAGTGGCTGAGAGAGCGTCTTTCAGCCAAGACTTGTCTCGCTTGGATCCGCGTACTCGAGATGGACCTCCATCGATGCGACTTAGTGCGGGCCACAAACGTGCAGTGGCTTGAAGTAGACAAGGCGATGTCGCAGCCAGGATGACATCCAGTCAGCTCACCAAGCCTTCGCGTCGTAGGGCAGGTGTTAGTGAGCAGTGAGCACCAGTCCTCATGTCATAGGGGCATTCGGACTCGAAGGGTTGGGTAAGGTAGCCTGGCTACCACCCTGCGTGTGGCATTCAGAAAAGACCAGACACTGAATCATCGAGGCGCATGGTGTGGCATACATGCTGCGGTCGCATCGTTCCGCATGTTTGGGCTCGGATGAACATGAGCGAGGTCGAAGACCGGGAGGAGGAAAACCAATTCCGGAGGGGGAAGAAACATCCCAGGGCTGAGGAATCCGGGGACCGGTACTTGCCCCCTAGCTCCGCGGTGACAAGGGTTTTTGGAGATGCGGAGAAGGTCCCGAACACACGGTTCTCCAACGTTCACGTCAAAGACTGGGATCGAGAATAGTTGGTCTTTTCAGGCTAGAAAAGTGGCCCAGAAGCGAGAGGCGTAAATCTTGGAGTCGAAAGGACGGTTGTGCTTGGAAATGCCCACCCGCCAAGAGATGGAGCTGCGGAACCAATCGTTGTGTAGCTGACCTCCGTATTGAGAATCGACTGCCGAATGCAAGCCCAGCTGCAGGACGCTGAATCGGATGAACTTGATTACCTGAAGGTCTTTGGGCAGATTCCCAGATTCCCCGACAAGTCCGACGGTGTGCTATGTCTGCATTGGAAGACAACGTCAAGTACAAAAGCTCGATGGGTCACCAAAGTTAAGCCACGAAACTTTCCTCCTCACGTTGGGAAATCAATTCCGGAATGGTATATGTCTCAGCTGTTCAACTCAAGCCCGTTCACATGTTCGATAATCCCGCCTTAAGGCACTGATTATCAATCGTCCGCTCAAGTTGAACGAGAACCGACAGCCAACATGCAATCAGCATGTCTCGCGATTAAACGGTTCTCAGCTTTATAGACCGATAAAATAGAAAGAAAGAAACCTCTAAATGACGCACTTACCTAAGAGACAGCCCATTATTGGTCGTCTCTCGCGTCTCAACCCTCAAACTCCAAGGCGGCTCTTGGAAGATAATATGACGCGGCCACTGGTTGGGAGGAAACATGAGAAGCCCCAGGCATGGAGGTCGTTGCCTGCGCGCAGCGCTATATATTTCCTATAGTTGTCATTACCATCTCTGTCGCCGTCTCTGTCGTTGAGTAGATCCCCGAGGAGACATCTTCGAGCCTGCCCAAGCCGGGTATCGGTGGCTAGATACTTCAGCTTTGACCTGACTTCGTCGAAACCTGCGATCTTTACTTGACGCAAGGCTTTGCACATCATCCTATGAATCCGTAAGACTTGAACGCCGGTGTTGAAAGTAACTCCACCCATAACTCCGACATTTTTAACCCGTGCTTCCAAACCTGACGCTATCTGTGATTCCCAATTTGCTTCATATCCGACTAACACGGTGGGTCTTCTTGCCAACATCGCATCTTCTTATCCATATTCGGTCGATTTTGCGTCAACCCAAGTGACCACACCTCTCCCCACACCCAACAGCATTTGTTTCTTCGTCATTGTGTGATCAAGGCAACTTATTTCTGACCATAGTTCTTCTGCGGTGACCACAAACAGCGACAATTTTGCCTCCATCATGACCAGCTAAAGTCTCTTATCTTATTCAATGATTTGAACCACAATTATGCAGCGATTGAAGACTTCAATGGGAGGCTTGATTGGCATCTTCTCCGCCTTTTTGAGCTGCTCTGATACCACCCAACTTATAAACAAGCAGACTCAGGGGTTATAGCCTTCCTAGTCTGCCCCAGCAAAAGATATATCACAACTTATTTATCTCCAGTTCGTGAATAAGAAGATTAGCCAGCAAAGAAGTGAATGCATGCTTTTGGCCAGCTCACAAGTGTCTGCACAAACAAAGGCTGGATGATGAAGTACTGCACTCTAAGATGAAGATCCAAGTGCTATTCTACTCATTTGCCTTCATATCAACAAAGGCACCAAGCCTTTTCACCCCACTTTGTGAACTTCTGCTCCCACATGCCCGGAGGCACCGGAGGTCCTTTGACTACTACCGATTCGGAGGGCCCACAAACTCGGAGGTGTGCTCCGGCCAGCACCAACATCAGTGCAAAACACCTCAGGGGCTGTTCAGCGCGTGTGACCCTTAAGTCACCTCTGAAAGAGCCAATCACCACCACCTCTGCCACCATCGTGATCAACACAGACCGAATCTCTTCTGCTTCAAAAGGCGAGTGCTACCATTCTTGATCCCATAGAGTGCGAGAGCTGGCGGGTCCCCTCTCCCTGGAGGCTGCTCTCGCCATTCTAGTAATTATCATGAACGCCGAGAGCTCTCTTAACCACGATTGAAGCCCTATGCAGCCCACGTTTTGAGATATTGGAATATCCCCTCCGTCCACCACCACCCAGCTGGTTTCTGAAACCCTACTCACCCCCAGATTTGGTCTCTCTACCTCCCCAAAGCAACCCATCTCCTACCTTGCCTCTCCAACTCCCCATCTCTCTCCCACACACGCTTACCCATCTCCATCTACCCTCTTCCACATTACCCATCTTACACCATCCATCTCTCCATCTCCATCTACCCAAATCCTTTCCTTCTTCGCACATCCCCAGCTTCACGAGCTTCGTTTGACTCTTCGCTGCATCTTTTTTTGCGTCGCGGAAAAATCAAGATCGTCCATCATGTCTGGTTCTACCGATAACAGAAAGCTCCTCGAGCAGCTCCAGAAGCTCTCTTTCCAGCACGAGCTGGAGCAGGCTTCGATGGCTGGTTCTGCGGCCTCCCAGATGGCTGAGCCTGTCTACGGCCTCCAGAACCTGTCTGTCTCGGCTAGCAAGTCGCCTGACTTCTCTTCGGCCTCGTCCGAGGATCGCGACCCTGAGCGCGGCGGTGGTAAGCTTCCCTCTCTTTTCTTCCCCCTCTCTGTTTTGATCGCTTCGATGACGCGATCTTCCATCTGACGCGATTTCGCTTCCTTCGCGATGAAAAATACTGACATCTCGATCACAGGTGTCCGCCTGGACGTGTCTTCCCTTCGCGGAAGCCCCAACAGCTTGGCTCGCCGCTCCGAGGCCGTTGGCAAGGCTCTGCGCCCTACCATGTCGGCTACTGCTACCTTGTCTGTGTAAGTCAATCTTCTGACCATTCGCTTCTACCTCAGCTAACTCGTCTCTAGTCACGCCCAGAAGGGCCCTGCTCAGGACGACGGTGATGTCTTCAATGACAGCTCCGCCGACGACAAGCCCCTTGGCATGTCTTCCTCTGCCTACAAGCTCAACCAGAGCCACATTCAGCAGGCCGGCTTCAAGGGCAAAGACGTCGTTCGTCGCAACTACGACGAGGGCTCTCCCACGAAGCCCCGCTCTGCCAGCAACAAGCTCGTTGACCCTCAGGCTACTTGGCCTGCAACTGCTTGCATCTTCGTTGCCAAGTAAGTATTCTCACAAGCTCTAGTCTGTCCTCTGCTAACCTCCACAGCCTCCCTGAGCATCGTGAGGACTACACTCTCGAGGCTGCAGTCACCAAGGAGTTCCAGCGCTTCGGCGTCGTCTTTGTCAAGATTCGTCGCGACACCAACGGAATGCCATTCGCTTTCGTTCAGTTCACCGTAAGTACCTCCATCATCGCTTCTGTTACCACCTCATCATACTGACTCCAATCATAGAATGACGAGAACGCCAACGAGGCCCGCATCGAGGGCAAGGGTGCCATGATCCTTGGCCGTCCTTGCCGCACCGAGACTGTGCGCGCCAACCGTACGTTGCCATTTCCACCCTCATGCTTTTCTCATACTGACTCTTCGCACAGGCACTTACATCATTTACCGTCGCAACCGCACTGCGATCACCGTCGAGGAGGCCAACGAGCTGCTCACTCCCTTCGGCGATCTCGAGACCGCTCGCTTCCTCGACGACGAGATCCAGCAGCAGATGCGTCTGCCCGTTACGATCCGCGTCCAGTTCAAGGAGTTCGACTCTACCCAGCAGGTCCTCAAGGCCTTCCGCCTGAACAGAGTCTACCATGTCGAGGCCTACGACTTCAAGAAGGCTATGCAGGCCAGGTCTCGCAACCCTGAGCGCGTGTACCTCGACACCTACGACCGCGACCGTCGTTCCATCTTTATTGGCGACTTGCCTCTCAACTTCACCGAGAGCGACATTCGCATTCTCATGGAGGACGTTGGCAGCGTCGTCTCCGTTCAGGTCAAGCGCCTTGATTACCACCGTGGTTAGTTGTCATTTCTCCCTTTCCTTTCCACATCCAAGAGTCAAGCTAACACATGAACAGAGGGCCCCAAGCTCATCGCTTTCGTCGAGTTCACCAACCCGACCGTCCCTGAGATGGCCATTGAACGCTATGTAAGTATTTTGCCTTTCACTTGACAACTTACCAAGATGGATGACTGACACCTCGAAGCATAACAACAATATCCAGGGCTACTACATCCGCGTCGAGCGTCGCACCAACCAGAACCGTCGTGGTGTCTCCAACACCCCTGGCCGCTTCCATGGCAACGGCTTCAACGGCGCTGGCCCTTCCAACATGGGCGGCAGAGCCCCTTCTACTCCCGCTCGCGAGCAGCGTGGTCCTCTGGCTATCGAGGCCGGTTCCAGCTTTAACCAGGAGGCTGTCCAGAACACTCCCGTTCGCCAGACTCCTCTCCGCAACGAGATGCACTCTGGCATGGCCCAGACTCAGAACGTCATGCAGCCCACCGTTGTTCAGACCCCTCAGCACCAGAACGGCATGCAAGTCCAGCACGTTCAGCAGATGCCTGCCCAGACCCAGCAGCAGGTTGGCCCCGTCCTGAACCAGGTTCCTAACCAGGTCCAGAACTATGTTGCCCAGCAGGTTCCTGCTCAGGTCCAGGTCCCCGTTCAGGGACAGATGCAGTTCAACATGGCTCCCCCCATGGGTCCTCATCCTCAGCAGCAGCACATGGGCACTCCCATGGGCCATCACCCTCACCAGCAGATGGGCCCTCCCCCCGTTCCTCAGATGAACACCCCCATGATGCCCCAGTCTGGCTCCTACATAGGCACTCCCTTCTCCCAGGGTCCCTTCTCTCAGGGTCCTGGCTCGGCCTATGGCTTTATGACTCCTCAGCCTTCCCCTGGCGCTCCCTTCTGGGGCTACGGTCACGGAACTCCTCTTTGGACCCCGTTCCCCGTCGACCCTGCCGCCTTCATGGCCTTCACCAGCCCTGTTCCCCCCGCTCGTTCCAACGGCGTCGCTCCCGCTGGTCCCCAGCTCGAGGCCAACCAGGTCACCCAATCTGAGCCTGTCATGACTGACAACAGCATCACCCAGGCTTAGGTCACTTTCTCTTGTTCGATTTTCAATCATTCCGGTTCCAGTTGTCGGTTTATCCAGACGTTTCGGTTTTCCACAATCCGAATCAATCATTCGACTACTTACACATCGGCTTATTATTCGGAAATCCAACATTTCGGTCCCAAATCGACTGGTACCCAATCGTATTGCTTGACAAATCTCATCTTTCTTTCCTTCTTTCGTGGTTTACAAACCATAAACAAACAAAATTGGTGTTGGGATTTGGTGTGTGGTCAGATGGGATCTTTTCTTGTGACACAGGGTAATGGTTGATGGATTCAAGGTTCGGTAATAGAGAAATGGAAACAAAATGGAGTCATAGAAGGTTTGGTTTGTGCCAAAGAGCACTTTGTCTACTCTCGATGTCAGGCCGACTTTCATCTAGTTAGCAATACAGTCTTGAGTAAAAGCTTCCGTGCTGTGGTTCTCATGACCAGAACGTTTGCGGGTGTCGGGGTTTCCGAGCGCAAGGTTCGGTCCACGGATACTACTATGCTGCAAGATTGCCATCATCTTCGTCTCTGAAGCTATCGCGGAGGTTCAAAAGCCAGCACGTCTGTGGATATAGGTAACCTGGCACCGACCCATCGTGATGTGATGGCGACACATCTTTGAGGGTCTGTTTCAACTTGCCGTTATCGAAACTTCGATCTGGCGAATTGAACCGAACCACCACAGATTTTGAAGAGCTTAGCACTCCCTGCGGCTTTTGGAAGTCATGTTGTGTTGACATCTAGGCTGTAATCGGGAAGTTCAGATGTCGTCAAATGGCCGTAGCGCGGGCCATATTTATCCCGATGAGAAGCTTCAACTCCATGTACCCTTGTACATCCTCGGAGCTTGAAGGAAGCAACTGAAGATCTCCCAAGCTCGCCGACACTATTTCGAGCGTACCCGACGAAAATTCAATCTCCCGCTTCACAGCGATTCACAGCACCGAATTTACTTAGCGAGAGGGATCGAAGATACAAGCCCCGCGACTGGTGGCGCATCACAGACTGAGCTTCGGCTCCAACAACCACACCACCAAACGTCTTGGCTGCGACCGCAAAATACCAAAAAGATGCGGGCATCACCATCACTCATGGGCAAGGGCTTCTGGGCTCGAAGTTTAGACCATTTCAAGCGAAGCGCGACCATTGGTGAGCTCCTCCCATCCCCCAGGCCTGCTCTTCGGTCCCCCACTAACCCTCGTCCGTCGCAGCTTTCAAAGCAGAAGGCATAAAAGGCGCGCAAGGCCCCTACATACTCCAAGACTTCCGCGCGCCCAACTCGACCGAAGACTGCAAACTCCTCTCCGACCGCGAAATCGGCGGCTTCTCCGAGGTCGCCCTCGACTGGGTCCCCTCAACATCCTCCTCCCCGACACAAGCCTCTGAAAGCACACAACCAACAAGGACCGGCTACGCCCGCTTCCACGGCACGATATCCACCGCGCTGCCGAAAGACGACCCCAAGATCCAGCGCACAGGCTTCGCGGCATGGCGCACGCCCAACCAGCAGCCCACGGTGTTCGGCAAGTCATTATGGGACATTGACCCCTACGTATACCTCGCGATGCGCGTCAAGTCGGACGGGCGCAGCTACTTCATCAACCTGCAGACGGACTCGGTCGTGCCGACAGACCTGCACCAGCACAGGCTGTTCGCGAAGCGGCCGGGCGAGTGGGAGACGGTGTTTGTCAAGTGGAACGACTTTGTGCGGACGAACCACGGGTTCGTGGTGGAGCCGCAGACGGAGATGCTGAGGTCCAAGGTCACGACGGTGGGCGTTGGACTCACGGATCGGAGGCCCGGGCCGTTTGAGCTCTGCATCGAGAGGATATGGGCTACGAACGATGTCGAGGAGGCGGAGGCAGCAGAGGCGGAAGCCGATGCGGCTGCTACGGAGAAAGCCAGGCAAGCGAGGGAAAGCGAGTTGAGGAATAAGCAGGGGCAGAGTATCCGGTGGTCAATTAGGTGATGTGCCAGTCCTACATCAGGCTGCACAAGGAGCTTTGGGGAACGTGCAAGTATGGCGGTTGCTTGCTCGCATCTAGATCGCCGGCGGAAGCTGGCGTACCAGTGAGTACAGCACGGGCAGCTCAGAGATGATTGATGGCATGCTCGTAGCTGGATTGGACAGTGTAGAAATATTCTGTAAAAATACCAAACGAAGGTCAATGCTCTTAGAACAACCCCAAACATTCCAATTAGGTCATAATAAAGATGATCGGAAACACTTGCCTTGAATCTACTATCATTTTGTCATCCCGCTAAGAGGTGCTCCCATGACTATCATCGGGGTCAATAGGGATTTCCATTTTCTTGAGAGAGGATAGCTGTGTTGATGATTGGTCAAAATGACGACGTTATTCCCCGGCATTTATGACCAATCATACCCCGCCAAAGCCACAGTGTGGACCTCGAAGCATCACTCAGGAACTCACCCATCGCATCACGACTGGTAATTTGAATGAAGGTGGAAGGCGCCGAAAAGTCGTATAATCACTAGTTTGTACAAGGCAGAAGAAGCTGCCACGTTCCTAACGCGCTGGTTCAGCTCCTGCTCAAGGGCATTTCGTTTGGCGCGGTCCCGACGCGCCTACCGCCTTCACTTGCCTGGAACCTCCAAAACATGGTCATCCACGACCCTGACGATTATCGGCACGACTTTAGATGATCAAATTCGAAACTTCATCCCGAAGCGAGACCAAAGCATTTTCGCACTGACGAGGGCACGCCATGGCGCGCTACCTCACGCCAGCCAAGATTGGCCTCCTCGCCCTCGTCGAGCTCTACACAGACGAACACGTCCCCAGCACAGCCATCATCCCGGTCCTGTCCTTCGTCACATCCCGTCTTCTCGACCCAGACCCGCAGAGTCTGACAACCGCCGCCAGCATAGAAAATCGCTGGCAGAAGGCAGAGAGCACCGTTAGCCTTGTCATCGGCATTAAGGATTTCGAAAAACTGCTCAGCGCTCACTCCGTTGTCGTCGGTCTGCCCGGGAGGAAGCTGTGGGACACATTCCTTGCAAAGCTATGGGACGTCAATTCTCTGGATGCACTTCATGAATTCTTTGGTCGACAATCGAAGTGCCTAGTCAAGACCAAAGAGGAACTACGCCGACTTGGGATTGAGGGTGATGCGGCGGCACAGGAGCAACTAAAAAGGGCGGGCATCACGCTGTCGAGAAATTCGCCCCTGGGGCAGTTCGTCAGGAGGAGTCAGCTGGAGTTCTCGCGACTTCGGTTCCACGATGTCACGCAACTCTGGACAGACTTTGTTCAGTACCGACAACCAACGGCCGGGTATCTGCGTCGGAGGAATCCGTCATTCGGACGGCTGAGCTTCGACAATGTGCTCATGACGGGAGACCAGGCGGACTGGGATCCGGAGGGCGTGGCGGCGCTGACTTCTGTCGTCTACGGGGACATGGTGTCAAGCGGCACGCCCTCTGCTGTTCCAGTCAGTACAGATGACATTGAGCTCTTGTTGGAGTTTCAAATCGATCAGATGCAGAGTCAGTCCATCGCGTTGAGAAGCCTGAAGCTTAGCTAACAAGACCAGAATTCGGCACACGAATACCGCTCGAACTCCGCAATCAATTTCATGACCTTCTGGGCGACAGCTTTTTGGTGCCCAGCTTGAGGCATTACTTAAGGTTCGTCTCGTTTGCCCTTCCTGCGGCAACTAGGTTGCTTACCTTTGACAGCTTTCTAGACGCGTGGAAATCCGGCGATTATCCCACAGCATTCGACTTCCTCCACCAGTATTTTGACTACACAATGCAGAACCGGGACAGAGCATTCTACCAATACGCGCTAATGAATCTGGCCGTGCTTCAGGCAGACTTTGGCTGCTACAAAGAGGCCGTGGCCGCGATGCTCGAGACCGTGTCCACGGCTCGCGAAAACCGCGACATGTCCTGCCTGAATTTCGCCCTTAGCTGGCTCTTCCACTTCGGTATGGCCCATCCAGACCTGGTTAAGGATCTGGAAGCGGACAGTCTGTTGGGTACGGCAAAGGAGAGTCTTGCCTACCTGCGAGTCAAGGCCAAGGAGACGGGAATGTGGATGTTGTGGGCTTCAGTGCTTCTCAGCGAGGCAAAGCTCGGCCTCGCAAACGGAGAAAGTGTGGCTACATCCATCGAGCTCATGGTCCGCAGCTCGCACCTGGTTGTCGAGCGGAACATGAAGAGCATGTTTGGGGGTCAGCTCTCCATCATGATTGCCTTGTGGGACAGGATCGGCCTCGCGTCGCTCTCGGCCATGAACTGCGAGATTTTTCTTCGCTGTCACGCAAGGCATTCGACCTTTGAGGACGAGTTGAAGATCACGGCTCGCCTAGCTCAACAGCTCGTAGCAAGGGGCAAATTCGACGAGGCGCTGCAAAAGATGGAGAGCTTGGACGAAAACTCGTTGCGAGCTTGGAAGCCGAACCAATACTGGTTCAAGTACCGAGGAATCATCAAGCTGAGGAGAGATTTGCACCATAACAACCTTGATGGCGCGGAGCAGCTCCTCGCCCAACTTTTACAGTCGAAGAAAGACGACCTCGAGGTGGACATGGCCTTCGTCATCGACTTCCTTCATGTCGACTGCCTCATTCGACGGGGCAACCTGCCAGAAGCCTTTTCCAAGGTAGAAAGCATGCTTGCTTCGCTTCGAGATGACAAGAGGGACATTCAACTCCGCGTGAGGCTGATGCTGCTTAAGGTCCATCTATACGACAAGTGTGGTCGGCCACAACGAGGGTTTACCATCGCCATGCGAGCAGCTAGCATGGCTTGGAGGTCGAGGCTGGTAGCAAGCCTGTGGCAGGCCATTGGTGCCATCGCCAATATCCTGACGTCCCTGGAAGAGTTCGAGGCTTCAATCCAGCTGCTAAACGCCATCCTCCCACGCAGCCTCGAGTGCGACTCTGCGGCCCTGGCAGGACAGCTGTATTCCTTCCTCGCAGACGCCAACATGGGCATGGCAGGCAAGATGGCACCACAGTCAGCGAAGCGCAGGGAATATCTTACCCGAGCCACCGGCGCCATCCAAAAGGCGTTTGATTACTATTCCAGCATCGAGGACATTACACGGCAGTGTGAGATGATGGCCAAGAAGGCCACCATCATGAAGGTGGCGGGAGACAAGGTCCTCGCAGCCGATTACGCGGCCGCATACGTAGCATTACGAAAAAGCGCTGCTTCGCTCTCGGTTTCATAGGCTATAGACCGACAGAGTTCATTTGCATGGGGACGGTGCATAAGTAATGCGATGGGGGTTTGTTTTAAGAAGGCCGCATCTCTTCGATTGCTGTGACATAGGGAAAATGTACAGAATAGTCTACCCCCCAACAAGCGTGTCCCGAGTCTATGGATCGCTCCCTCCCCGATGCGAGTGCACGCATTCTGGTGCCCAAGTTCTGGCAGTTTAAGCCTTGTCCTTGTTGTGGTAGTTGACGGAGTCGTTCCAGCTGCAGACTACGTTAGCAAATTCGCCCCGTCTCTCATAGTCCCCATACGTACAAGAGGGTCTTGTCACCGTTGCCCCACTGGTAGTTCTTGGTGCGGATGTTCTGGTAGGGGTACTCGACGCGCTCCTCCAGAGGGGGCATGTGGCTCCAGTGCTCCCAGTGCTCGTTCCAGAGGACGTAGGCGTTGGCGCCGGCGAGGGCGAGGGCGGGAATGCAGGCGCTGTATCACACACACATGGTCAGCCTACGATCTCCTTGGCTCAAGGTTTCCCTCGATCTCCAATTGACAAATCCCGCGTGCCGTCGAGTCCGTGATTTATGCCCCTCCAATCCCAATGCGAGTTCCGACACTTCCTCCGTCGCAATGTCCTGCATCAACAATTTCTTCGACGGCGTAGGGATTCACTCAATCGGAGGGGCTGATTCTCTTCGGGGGTTCGGAGGGAAAAAGGCATACTAGATGGAGATCTTGCGCCAGAGTTCTGCTCACGTTCGTTAGCATTTCTATATTTCACTCAATTGGTTTCCTCCCCACAGGCCCAATTGGCTCTCGTCCCCAACGTCACTCTTCCCCCATCTCTCCTGAACCCGCACCACAGCAGAAGGAATGGTATGACGAACCAGTGGTGCCGGCGGCGTGGTGCTTGGCAGCCTCGCGCTCCCTGACGAAGGCGTTGTCGGTGCTGGCGAAGCGGCGCTGGACAGTGGAGCGGGCGGCCGGGGCGCGGGCAGCGCTGCGCGCGGCGGCGGAGAAGAGGCGGGCGCTCATGTTGTGTGTGCGGTATCCGGTGTGGGTGGTGGAGGGGAGATTTTTTGTGACGTTCGGTCGTCGGTCGGCGGTGGTGAAGATTGAGGTTCGTTGCGGGACGGGAATCAGGTCATGGAGCTCGGTTAGCGGGAACCGGTGGTGGTGATGGCCGGGTTTGTGGCCTGGATTGTTAGGCAGCAACGAAGGGCAGGGATCTGCTGCTCTGTCTTTTTTTGGTGGGCGGGCTTTGCGGGATGACTAAATGATGTCAGGTCATTTGCGGAGGAAGTAGGAACTGGTTTCCTGGGGCGATGGAGGAGCAAGGCATTTAACCCCCTGCAAACGGCCAGAGTTTACCAAAAGGGAAACCCAAAATTGGCGTAATTCGAGTCTTAGTTTTCGCTTGCTTCTTGATTGTGAATAATGAATTGTATGGCTATCGAAAGGACGCCAATTGATGAGTTGAGGCAGCGTTGTATCGGGTCACGTGACACCGCCTCAAGGTCGTGCCGCGTCCATGACGGCAGCGACGTCGCGCGGTCACTCACGACGTGTAAGCGGTCGAGGGCGAAGTTGCTCCAGCCAGACGCCGTGGTCTCACTTTCTCGCATTCGTGAACGAAAAGGCGCCATCGTTTGTGTCGTGTTCCTCTTTTAGTCACTGACTCGCCGCTCGCTTCTACATCTTCTCTGTATTGGTCCCTCCATCGACGTCACTCGGCATCTCTGGGAGTTTTTGATGTTGAAGCGAGGTGATACCGGCGTTTGAGCGATACCCATTTGATTTCAAAATTGCTGAGCTCAGCTTCAAGAGCGCCTCTTCGTCAATATGGGGCTTCGCATCGTGACATGGAACGGTGAGTGAGCGCACATCTGGTGTCCCTTCAAGGCCGGCGTGGCTAACTCATCTCAAGTCAACGGCATCAGGTTTGAAAGCCTCCGTGTGCACACCCATGAGCAGTCAGCCTAACAGCCCTCAGAAACCCATTCGGATACCAACCATGGCGGGAGAAGCGAACATACCAGGTCCGACGCCCCCATCCTCACTTGCATCCCTCCCTGACCTCCTGCCCAGGCAATGTTCGACATCCTTGAGGCGGACATTGTAATCATGCAAGAATGCAAAATCCAGCGAAAAGACCTTACAGATGAGATGGTCCTCGTCCCCGGCTGGGATGTCTTCTTCAGCCTGCCAAAACACAAGAAAGGTAACACCTCTCCCGAAGCCGCCTAATTCTCTCATCCCTAACCACACACCCAGGATACTCCGGCGTGGCAATCTACACCCGCAACGCAACCTGCGCCCCCATCTGCGCAGAAGAAGGCATCCTCGGCGTCCTCACCCCGCCGGGCTCCTCCACCCCGTACCGCGACCTGCCCCCGGACCAGCACATCGGCGGGTACCCTCGCGCCGGCCAGCTGTCCTCCGAAGTCGACGCCGCGACCCTCGACTCCGAAGGCCGCTGCGTCGTCCTCGAGTTCCCCGCCTTCGTGCTCATCGGCACCTACAGCCCCGCTACGCGCGACTCCTCCCGCGACGACTTCCGCCTCGGCTACCTCAACGCCCTCGACGTGCGCGTGCGCAACCTCGTCGCGCAGGGCAAGGAGGTCATCCTGACGGGCGACCTCAACGTCATCCTCGAGGAGCTGGACACCTGCAACCTGCGCGAGATGCTCCGCAAGGAGGGCATGACAGTCGAGGACTGGAAGGGCATGCCGTCGCGGCGCATCTTCAACCAGCTGGTCGTCGGCGGCAACGTTACCGGAGCCCGGGACGAGGGGCGGGATAAGCCTGTGCTACACGACCTGACGCGCATCTTCCACCCGACGCGACAGGGCATGTTCACCTGCTGGGATACCAAACGAAACACCCGCCCGGCCAACAACGGGAGCAGGATAGACTACATACTCTGCTCGTCAGGCATCAAGGATTGGTTCACGGACTCGAACATCCAAGAGGGGCTGATGGGGTCGGATCACTGCCCGGTATACGCAATCATTGGTGATGTCGTCAATAAGGATGACAAGGATGTTCCCATCGTCGATCTTATGAATCCGAGCGACATGTTTCGACAGGGCGACCGTCTGCGAGAGTGGGCCGCAAAGGACCTCCTCCCTCTCTCCGCGAAGCTCATTCCCGAATTCGACAAGCGACGAAGCATACGAGACATGTTCATGAAGAAGCCGACCGCAAAGCCAATAACTGATACCCCTCCCTCTTCCATCTCCAAAGATACCCCTTCTCAACAGCCAAAGAGCCCCTCATTTCCCAATGTTCCCGACGATCCTCCCTCACAAACCTTTGCCCCGTCGAACACGAGCAAGATACCTCCGACCGTCCCTGATAGAACGTTACCTCCATCCTCATCTGCCCCCGTAAAAAGGCAGGCAGAAGCGAAAGACACAAAGCGGTCCCTGAAGAGAACAAAGACGAACGACAACGACTCCAAGACAAACAAGCAGAGCACTCTGACAGGCTTCTTTAAACCCAAGGCCCCGGCTGCGAAGCCGACAGGCGCCCACGCAGAGAGCGAGATAATCCCCGATTCCAGCGACAAGAACAATGGTCCCGAGGACCAGTCACAGGGGAACAAGGCTGCAGTGCTAGTCGGTTCCCTCTCAACGGTAGCGGAGGTCCCTGCGACTGCGGAGTCGTTGACCTCGCCCTTGCCCAGCAAACAGCAACAGCCGGCATCAACCCTGGACCTGTCGGCTACCGAAACTTCTGAGAAGGTCTTTGATCCTATCGAGACCAAAGAAGCGTGGTCCAAGTTCAGCCTGGGCAAGAGGGTAGTGCCCAAATGCGAACACGGCGAGCCTTGTGTCAGCTTCCAGACCAAGAAGCCCGGCATCAATTGTGGTGAGATCCATCCAAGCAACGTCTTCCTTATTCGGAAAACTTAGGCGAATGCCGGGGGTCGTGATTGGTGCAATGGGTACTGACGATCTGTACAGGGAGATCATTCTACGTATGTGCCCGCCCGTTGGGGAAGTCGGGGGTCAAAGAATCGGGGACGGAGTGGAGATGCGGGACGTTCATCTGGAGCAGCGACTGGAAAAAAGATCAGACCTAGTTATTTCCGTGATGCGCCGTCGAGACAGTGGCTGGGCATCATGGATGGTGTTAGCAGTCTGCAGTGGCGAAGAGCAACATGTGGGCGAACCAATGGTCCTCATGGCGGGGGGCAAAAGACACTCTAGGTATCGGGCTGGAATAGATGGTCTATGAAGATAATATTTACTGGCTTGCAGATTATAATTACAGAAAAAGATTCGCGTTCGCTTTGACATGCGAATACATGGGTTGTGAGTACATTTTTTCCGCCAATATGTTCATCAAATCGAAGATCCCTGGTTCGCGTTGCCATCGAAGCAGATGGGCCAGGATGGTTCTTGGTTCCTCAGATCCGGCGATCTCCTTGCGTTCGCACGCCTAAGTATCGCCGCACAAAGGTCTGTTGGTTTTTGGTGCAGGACAACTCTTGCTACAGCATGCGGCAAAGAATCGATGACCAGATGTGTGGTCGCCTCCTGGGTCACGCTGACTGAGTAGAGATCGAAGACAGCCGCAAAAGGCGCCACATTCTTAGGCTCATCTGGTCGCTGATGCTGCCAGTCTAGGACACAAAGACAACCTGAGGTCGTCTGGCAGCGCCGATATCGGTTCCGTTTCGTGGCTGGTGCTACAGCGACTCGGCGCAGTCGGTAGGTATAACTCATACTCCTCCGTCTGGACCCGACAAGTCGGCGCGCTGATGGTGTTGTCGCTCTCGGGTAGGAGGCGGCCTCTACCTCATTGACGCTGCTAAGCTGGCCTTCTTGCTTTGGCCACTAGGCTTTCGATGGCGCTTCTCAGACGGCTTGCGTGGGGTGTAACGGTAGTCGGGATACATCATCAAGAGGCGCTCCTTGTGCATCTTTGCAAGTTCGGTATATTTCTGGCGCACGGCTGGTGATTCGCTGTTCCATTTCTTGCCTAAGCTAATGGCTATTGTTGGTCAGCGCCTGTTCCCGAGGGGAACCAAGTCAAAGTACTCACAAATATCGTTGTTGCTTAGGTGACTGTTTTCCTGCTTCATGGTGGCATGGCGATCTTTGCGGTAGAGAATGAAGGCATTGGGAGGTCGAGGAACCTTGATCTTGCAAACAGGCTCTGGGCTTTCGGTGCAATGGGCGCCAGCTTCTGAGCCAGAAGCGTCCTCTAGAAAATGGCTTGGTGGTCGCTGGACGACGATGGCAATGCCGTTGACTGAGACGATCATGTGGGGGCCAGAGACGAACTTCTCGCAGGGCCCGAGGACCCATCTGTCTGCATTGCCGTCCATGCCATCCTTTGCCCACATGACGGGCTTCCTGAAAATCCGTCTGCAGCGTATGGTTAGATGCGTTCGGCATGTTGATTGAAGGAACTGAGGCTGAAGGTAGACCAACCCCATATAGAAAGCCATGAATGCTTGCCCGTCCTGGCCAAGACCAAGGTAATCCTTCTGAGAGACAGCAACAACGGACTGGAAGCTATTGAGCTGAAGGTCCAGTGTCTCCTTTGCGATCTGTAGGATATCATGTTGTAAGCGAGAAGGATCCATGCAGCCGGCAATGGTCTGGCCGGGATTGAAGTCGTGGAATGACATGGCGAGCTGGCGAGGCGGTGTAAGACGGACAGGATGCGGGGTTGAGGTTGGCGCAGATGTTGTTGGAATTATGGGTATGGGAAGTGGTGTGTGTAGATGAAAGGATGGATCGTGAGATGGAGACAAGATCTTCCAAGATCGATGGGGTCTCGGGCAAGATATACTGTCGAGGAAGTGCCAATTACAAACGAGGCATAGGTAGTCCAGGACAGCGTTGGGGGAGAGATATGAGGAGGGTACGAGAGGCAAGATACCCAGTGCAAATCGCATATGGAAAGGCTCGCTCATAGAAGGGTCCTAAGTTTGGGGAAAGCACCCCCATCACAGACCAAGCCCATAGAACACAGACCGCAATGCCTCAGGACGACGGACGAGGAACGGGTTGGCGAGAGTGCCCAGCCTTTTGGTGTGGGGCAGTGTCTTAAACCAGAAATCACTGCAGGGGATCCATCTTGCCGTGGCAGGTCTGGATGGCCATGGCAAGCTCCGGTTACATGATGTGTCTGGGGGCCTGCCCTGGACTCTTGGAGAGGGGAGGAAGGGCCAGGGCCAGGGTCAGGGCCAGATGAGAAGGAACCCGCCAGCCCTGGACGAGGACGTGGAGGTGCATCGATGTCGGGCGGTCCTTCGGTATCTGCACCTGTCTGTCTACCTTGCCTTCCTTGGCTTCCTTCCACTGTAGGCGAAACCACGACCCTGCACTGTACACATCATGTTTGTCCCTACGACGCGGCGACACCTGTCTCCAAGTAGTTAGAAGGAGGCAAAAGGGCAGGGAGATACTTTGCTGGATGACGGCCCGAGATGCAGGTACCTCGCACCAGTTTGGGGGGAAGAAGCAAGTCCAGTCTGCCCAGCTGTCAAGAGAATCTCAACGGCCGCTTACGTCTCCATGCAACCATGTAGTTTTGGTCGACCTTAATCCACCGGCACTGCTAGCTGCAGTCTTTCCTCGCTACCGTCGTCTTGGCCTTCTGTTGCGGGCATAGGTAGCTGAGCTTCTTGGATCCTTCGGGTATAAACCTGTGTTCGGTGTTATCTCCCGTACGTGCCTCACTCCCAGAGCTGAGCAGTTAGAAACCCCATCATTTCCCCATTTTCTCGCGAAAATATCGCGCCCAGCTTCATACACATTGAAATGGTATTTTAGCACAACAAATGATATAGAAGGGATGGCGATATCAGCAGCAATCCATGATACGTTACCTTGCCCTCAGCACGATGCAATGGTGCATGTTTGGATGAGCAGACCAGGCATGGATGATGTGCGAGGAAAATAGAACAGCTAATGACGGTTTGGGCATCTGTTAACGAGTCTTGCTCCTGGGTGCACACTACGGGCTGTGCTCTCTGCGCTCTCAGCACATTTGGGTGGAAAACAGCAACCAACAGAGGCACACCACCCCGCTGGGCTTGCTGCTGCATCTCTGATGTGGTTGGTGTTGGAAGGGAAGGCAGAGATGCCAACACCGCCTGTACCAGCCAGCACCAGCATCCACCTCGGTGACAGGCAAGAGAAAAAACAAAAGATATTAGTCTGCCGGGCGAGGGTCACGAAAGTGCTGCATGCTGCTCTGTGCAGAGAGGGGGCATGTTATTTCTGATGCATCATGGTTGCAGCGGTCGCCATCTCAACCCTAAAATCCGGGATCAATGACATCGCCCGGGCTTCTCTGTGGACGTTCCTGCATTTTGTTGCTTTCGTAAATTAACGTATCACAACCTCAAGCCGTGCGAGGTTCAGGGTAGGCTTTACGAAGTTTTACACCAAGTTGATGTTTTCGAGAAGCTTTCCTGACGTCTTGCTCGGACTCACACCCTACGTTGCCCTCGAGGTACATTCGACATTTTGTCCGGACTCCAGATTGGCTACATCAATAAGGCTGCGACCAAGAGGGAATAGATCTGGTGCCCACAATTCTGTATTCTTTTCTTCTTCATTTCTCCAAAAGTCATTCCCCAAAAATACTTTTGCCGGATGTCATCGCGACGCTGCTTTCGGTCAAGGGTCGCTTTTTTTACATTTCACGAGCGTGGGACCTTTTTGTCTCTTGCATCTATCCTTATTTTCGCATCTGAGGGCATCCGACTTTTTTTTATCTTCACAGCATATCTTTGGACTGGCCCCCATCTGACGTTTTCTTCTTTTGTACGATAGCCTCTTGTTCATCCCCTTCTTGCACCCATTTACACCGCATATTTTCAGCCAACGGCTGCCACGGTTTTGGTTAGTATTCTGCCGCCACCTCACTCCAACATGTCTCGGGACGAAGAGATTGCATCAAGCGAAAGCCCTGGCATTTTGAGGGCCCAGGCAATGAACGAAGTTTTACCACGCCGCGATCTCGACATTTTCACCACCTCACGCATGTTTCCCGAAGGGGACTGGGTTCTCTCAGAATTCGGGCGTCCTCATCAGTTCCAGGCGGCCTACTGCGTGCCAAATCAGCGAGGACATCTGGTTCCCGCTCCTATGCCTCCAGTCAATATTTCGGCAGTCACCAACGAAGAGGAAATCTACAACCACTGCACCGTCTATCAATTTGCCCCTGGTGAGTTACACCACCATCATCACTCGGGGACCATGACTGACATCCACCAGCATATCAAAGCCGAGGTGACACAGCACTCCACGGCGCTTCCAACGCAGCCAGCCACCAACCGCAACAGCATCTCGGTCGCGGGTTGGCGGCAACCAACGGCAACTATCAGCAGTTGCCGCCGCATTCCCAACCTGCCGATCAGTACCGCTTCGACTCAGAAAAGAAGGATCCCTTCATTCACTCGGGTGACACCAGTTTCTTCGCGAGTCCTCCCTCTTACGCATCCGCCACGGCCGCCCACCTGCATGCACCACGTCCACGAGACAAAGAAACGGATTTGCCGCCCGCGCCGATGCATGGCCAGAATTTCATCAGCTTTTCGGAAGAAAACATCGTCGGCGAATTTCAAGCGCACCCTTCGATAGGGGCGAGCTCGTTTGCTAGCACGATGTTCGACGATTCCTTCCGTAACAGCCCGGAATCGGAAGAAATTCACGGCTTTGAATCATTCACATCACAAGACTTCTCTTCCAACATTCACAGCCAGGCAATGATTGCGAGCGACTCATTTGACATGGGTTTTGCCCCTCCGATGACGACGCACCTCCATGAGCTGGCCCTGGAAGACATTTTCCCTACAGGCAACGGATCTAGCAGGGGTGGCCAGAGCCACGACGACGACGAAGACGCTCACGGGGAGAGCGAGATTATTCCCGTCAAGGCGCAGAGATAATTTCATCTTCTCAATCAAATTTTCTCTTTTGAGTTATCAACAAAACGTGGTAAACATTCTTTTTCTAAATTGTGTGGTTGGGTGCAATCATTTGTAGTTCTGGGCAAACATGTTTCAACTTGGGCACAGTTTGGTCCTGAACAAGGTCAGCACGCTCGATGTTTTCTGCCAAAAATCAGTTCGGAGGGCCAGAAATGGCAGCTTGTCTTCAGCAGAATTTGGCTCTATCGACTGGGGGTATGATTGCAGGACATTCGACCTCAGCTTCTGGAAGGTGGAGTTGGTAGGGGTTTTGGATCGCCATGCATTTCTGTGTGATCAATGACCAGGCTTTGCGCATGTTTCTGGCAATTTTCTGGATTAGACGCTAGATAGAAATCAGCCGAAAGACGAGAGAGAAATGACACAGATACTTCCCTCACTCTAGCATACCCTCAACCTCCCCTCTACCCCTGCCTCCGTGCGGCGAAGTGCGAAGCGGGCCACTTGACGTGACTGTTGCTGTCAGGGCTTGAAGAGCCATGTGAGTGCGGTTGGCAAACATGCTTGACGAATTTAATCTTGGCTGGAAATCATGGGATGCGTTTGATTGGGTACCGAGACACTGGTTGCGAGAGCAAACAAACGTTGTAACCCCCAAGAGCAGCAAGACCCTCGTCGTCGAGATTAGCATCTAGACCAAGCCAAATTAGATCAGCCTCTTGCGCTTAGCGGCAGAAGGACCCCTGCAACGCCCCACATTTCGTCCGAACTGGGCTCTTCTGAGCCCCGTTTCTGCGATCGAAAGGCTCCACGGATGCCCCCCTCCTTTCTCCAAATCTTTGACTTGTCTCATCCGCGAGAAAGAAATGCGCGAAAAGGGCCGCAAAACAACAGCATACTTCCTTGCGCAAGAACACAGACGACAGGAACATCATTGCGCCCCTCGTATCTGCTTGAGACGTGCGCTTGGTGTGGTGGGTAACCCCCAAACTCATGCAGGAGAAGCTGACCGTCTTCAAAGCCCACTTTCAAAAGCCACCAATACCGAACCAGTGCAAGCAAACAACATTGCCGCTTTGAGCAAGATCGACGCCTGGGTCCTGGCACTTTCGAGGGAGGACTGCCTCCACCGCCAGGGATGTCAACCCAGGCACTGCAGTCGTCTCCCTGAGAAATGGGCTGTTCACAGTCTTGTTGGGCTCGTCGGGGCTGTCTGAGCAAGCCGCTCTGCTTCTTGAGGCATTCGATCCAATCCGAGATATGCGGTGGAGAGCACCGCCCCTGCCATCACTTCACGCGCTCAAGGGTTGGACGCGGAACCCTGGCCCTGCAGCTCTTGGTCCCCGTGGTCGCCGATGTTCCCACTTGATCTCCAGCACTTGTCTTCATCAGGCGGAGCAAAGAAGGCACCATCGTCACTGTTGCAGCCTTCCCTCTTCGACCAGACATACATGATCGTTGACCTTCTCTCCCCCCGCCTTCTCCAAATTGCGACACCCTTCTGCAGCTGCGGCAGGAGCTGGCTGCTAGGGCTCAACAACGTGTCCCCCTTGTGATCCTCGCGGCACCTGCCAACCTATTTTTGCCCTTGTCAGGAAAGAAGGGAGGCCTTCACCGACCTTGCCGACATCATCGCCAAGAATCTGGAAGATGCCACTCGACACCCATCGACCCATGCCCCACGCAATCTGTCCAGCATCTTCGACTCATCGACACTCTTCATCACCGCCCCGGCACAGTAA